CCCCGGTTTAGATGCCAAGGTACACATGTTTATATTTAGTTCTTGACAAGTTTCCTGTGTCTTTTGTGTTACTCAATGCAAATGTTAGGGCAGGATGGTGGAGTTTGGTTTGTTTGGTTTGTTTTTAGCTTTCTTTGTCATCCAGATGTCTGCTCTGTCAAAGGCCATGTGGGACTCTTCTAAGATGTGGTTTACAGCCTTGAATGTTAGTCCAGTGGGATCTCTGTATTTAAGACTTGCTCAGTTTTCCAACAGTTTTCAACTTTTCATTCAGTTTCAGGGAACGGTGGGGCTCAGATCAATCTTTATAGTAAGAATCATATGAGTTATTAAATTAAAATAAGGAATCTTGTTACTTTAAAGGAAAATAGCATGTATTCTTATCCTATTCATTTCCCCAGAAATATAAATATAAGATGAATGAATTAGATCGCCTTCTGATTTGGTGCTAAGAATGGCAGCTGGTTCTGTGCCTGTCATTAACACTGTCATCAGTGGCCCTGGATATTGGCAGGAATCCTAGATATATTGTACACAGACATCAACTGTAACACCCTAAAAGGAAAAACTTAAAGCCTAGGATTTGATTCATAAAATAGTACACACGTAGTCTCTTTGGAGAATTAAACAATCATCTTTCTTTGCCTTAGTATTTTTTAGTTTTCGTTACTAAATGTGTATTGGTAAAGACTTGAGGAGAAATAGAAGTGCTTCTCCTTTTATTGCCACCCCAGCCTTGCCTTTCATTGACTCCATGTGTGTGATCCTGTATTTGTAACTAATTTCATATGTAAAGGACGAGCCCACTGACATTATAATTTATTCATACCTTTGAACACCTTTATAGGACACCTACATAGAGTTCTGTCTGATTTACAGGGTTGTCATCCCTCTCTTGTTTGGAAGTCAACCATTTAGAAACAAAAGTACCTGTTTTTGCATGGAATTTAGGTCTGCAGTTCAGCCCACAGGAATTCACCAACACAAACTTTTAAAATAATAGTCATAGCAAAAGACAGTTGGCCTTAAACCAATATTATATTAAGATTTTTCCATAAAAATGAACTAGCAACTTGAGAGCTTTTTCTACCTGAAATCATTTCCTCTGTTTGCAGTGGGATAGGTGATTCTTCCTTCCCAGCCTCAGCTGTTTTACAGTTTAAGATGTGGCTCCCTCATTTCCACAGTTTTGGTCTCCCAGTGGCTAGAAACAAAGCAAAAAGAAGCTAAGGACCTGGATAGGAGGGTTGGGGATTCTGAGACGTAAATGTGAGTTGTTGTACTCTAGGAACTTCTGAGCTGTTAGTTTATCATAGAAGAAGGCCTTACGCAATGTCATTATTTCTTCAAAGGCCTCAGGAATGGTTTCTTTCCTTTTTATATCATCTCATCTGTTGCTTCTTATGAAAGATTCTCCACCTGAAACCACAGAGGAGTTAAATACCAAGTTAGTTATTCGCTCATCCCTTTGTCTCTGAGCAACCCTACAGCTATTTGAGTTTCTCAAAGGGTAGAAATGCTCTTGCTTGCATTAGCCTGCCCATTGTTATTCACCTAAGCCTCCAAAGAAGTTCAAAGACCAGATATTGAAAGAAAAACCCAGGCTCTGCTGAGGATTTTATCATTGAGTCTGATATAAATCCAGTAAAGGAGAAACAAGATGTCCAAATGGATATGCAATCCTTACTTTTGGGAACACACTATTCATTAGTGAGCTTGACAAGAAGTGATTAGAGAAGAGTGAAGTGTCAAAAGCATGATTAGTGTGGGTTCAAAAGAAAAATGAGCAAAGAGGAATTGAGAGTAAGCATGGATAATTCTTTCAAGACATTTTGCTATAAAAGGAACTGAGAATTGAGGTGATAGCTGGAGCAGAGAGTATGGAGACAACTAGTTGTCTGGTTTGTTTGGTTTTTTTCCTCTAAAGATGAGGCTTATCACAACATACCTATAGGCAGAGGGGAGGACCATGTGGAGAAGGAACCTTCACAGTGCACTAGGGACAGTGCAGCTGCTAGAGAAGAGCCCCTCAATAGTGACACATCACAGAGTTTGTCCTAAGAGAGGAACACAGAAGGTTGATCTTCTAGGATTAAGAGGAGGAAATGTATGTACGTGTGTGCTGTATGCAAGTAACAGGGGTCTCTTTGCTATTATTGAATGACTTAAATGAGAGTGTAGCAGATCATGTTGGGGGTTTTGAAAAGAGAAGCTATGAAATAGTTCCCCGGGAGAATGGGAGAATGAATGGACTAAAATTGCAGTGGGATCCAGGTCATGTTTCAAATTCATAGTCATGAATTAAAGTGAGACCAGGACAAAAGAGGAGGCTGTGTGCGACCTTGGAATACGGTGATAAGCTAGTTTACATAGGTATAGTTATTGTGAGGGTTGTGTCAGAAAGCATTTCAGAGTAGCAATATAGGACCTCATTATTATGAAACTTTGGTTTGAATTACTTAGCACTTTTCTTTGGCAAAAAGCTTTTCAGATTTCTTTAAATCAGCCTCAGTATCTCTAAAGACAGCATTTGGCTTCTCCTGCTGACTTAGTAACTGAGTCTAAGCAACTGACTTAACCTTCTTTTGCTTTTACCCCTCAATTCATAAAGTGAGGGTGGTAATGTTTTAAAGTGCATCAGATGCTTTAGAAGTAAAAGCGCTACATGAATCCACGCTATTCATAACATGGTATTAGTCCTCACTGGTGTAATCACTGGAAAGTCAGAGAGGTCAGTGCCTCTGAATGGGCCCTGAGCCTTGGGTGGGGGATACCTCCCTGAGAGAGCTAGGAAAGAGGCAAGAAAGGAAAGCTTATGTTATAGCCTTCATCTTTAGAGAAAAAATTCTCTACATGCCTCTATATCCTGCTCTATTGCTAGGTAGGTGTCACCCACATTATTTCCTTTAATCCTCACAGCTTCTCTCTAAGGTTACTTATTAGAATCTGAGAGTCAGAGGGGTTGGTCACCTACTAAAAGCTTGGATTTCATCCCAAGTTTACCTTAAAATCCCATATTCTTTTCACTTTGCCATGTTTGAAATCAGGCTTGATACTCTACACCCATAGAAGTTACAGGATTTTATACATAAATTATTTTTGTTTGTTTGTTTTTTGGTACTGGGGATTGAACTCAGGACCTTGCACTTGTGAGTCAGGCACGGTGATGCTGAGCTAAATCCCTGGCCCCATAGATTGTTTTTTTACATTACAGGTCCATAGTCTAGTCAACCTCATCTTTTCATCTAACTAGAGTTGCCCAGTAGCAGAATAAACTAGTTTCCTGAAGATGTGATGGAATAGCTTACAAGAAATCATATGTCAAGAAATGGTAGAGTAATTTGGGGGAGAGAGCCGTAACCTGACTAAAAATCTGCATTTAGCTGTAAATGCACTTTTCAAATATTCTTTGGGGCAAGAAGGTGGGTGCCAGAGAAAAATCAAGTTATGTCCTGGAAACGACAGAGCTATCATGCTCTCTGTGCTGTTTCCTGCAAACATACTACGTACATTATAAGCTACAGCACATAAACTGCGCTCTAAGAGAAAATCACTGCTCTATTAGAGTCTGATTTTTGAGTAACAATTGCCCACCTGAAACAGAAAATGATAAGAAAAGTGTATTTATTTTCTTCCAACAGCTAAAAGGTGATCATGCTTCTAAAATTTGTTGAGATTGTCCAAGAAACTGTAAAACACTCATCCATCACTGCAAGCCCCTGGTCAGGAAATGACAGCGCAGTAAATATCTTCAGCAGCCACCTTTTAATGTACAAGCTGTTTTCGGTTGGAATTTTCAGCACTCATATAAAACACACTGTCATGAGTGACTGCTTGTGCTCCAAAGTCATTACTATTGGGATAATGGAACATCTCTCAGCGAATAACCAAAAAACTTTAAATGTCATGTCAAGTTTGTTGAAGCCGTCTTCAAGCCCTGTTCAAGGTTACATGAATATTGAGGCTATCTTGTTTTCTAAAAGTTTTGAGATCTATGAGAGAGATCATTTGTGATGTTGTGCAATATGGGAGTCACTTAATTAAAAAAAAAATCTAGAACTCTTTGCAAAGTCATTCACCCAGAACCTTTAATCATTAGGTATGGCAACTCCCTAACTCTCTTGATAAGTCAGGATCACCATCACTTACAGTAGGTATGTGTATGTATGTACATAGATGTGAATAGACTTGGTAATTTGATTATGACTTAATTCTGGATTGCTGGGAAGTTTTAATATTTTGCCTGCTAACTTCATTATTTCTTTTAAGGGAAATTATTGACTTTTTAATTTTTTTCTAGAAACTTTCCATGTTTTCTTCAAAAAAAAAGTAAATCTTACTAGTATTCACACGTATGTTGGGTCATGATGTGGGCAAAAAATTTCTTTCCTCGGTGTATATTAATTGAGCATTTACTTTGTACCAAAGTCATTCTAGGCACTGAAAGCATAGCAATATTTAAAATAGTGTTTTTGGTGTCTCAGAGCATGCGTTCTAGTAAAGAGAAAGACAAATATGTGTGTTTCTGGTAATCATGAGTTTTATGAAGGAAAAGAGGAGAAGGTGAGAGAGCCATGAAAAGAGCAGGTGCTAAGATGAATGGTTATGGATGCCTCTTTATTTATCTGGTGCTTAAATAGAAACCAGAATACAGATGGAACCAAGCCTCGATAATAACCTGGTAACAGGCATTTCAGACATAAACTAAGAAGGAAATAAGTATTGTTGCTAATGAAATGCTTTTGTATTATATTTTAATTTATTCTTAACCTCTGATGTTTATTTTAAACCCACTTTTCTTTTAGTCTAAGGCAGTGATGGTGAACCTATGGCACGTGTGCCACAGGGAGGTGTTTGAAGCATTGAAAGCTCTAAAAGGTTTTCCATCACTGATCTAAGAGAACTTGTTTATTAAGAATAACTTTTAAATTTATGTTTTATAATGTGCCCAGTCTTTGGTTGTCAAAGTGACAAGTTTTATGTTTTCTTCCTTACTATAGAAAATCAGAAAGTGCAGTTGACAGAAGGGTCACGTTCACACAACAATATCAATTGCAACTCCACAAGGAGTCCAGTCACCAAGGAGTTTAATTATAATCCAGACACTCATAGATCCACAGGGAGGATCAAGGCAGTTGAGAAGAAGGAAGCCTGTGCTGTGGAAAGAAACAGAAAAAAGGAAATGGAACTTCTTGGCTCTGTTTCTAAAAATGAAGCCATTCCCGAAGTTGAAGCCCTGCTGGCAAGATTACGAGCCTTATAAATTAGACTGGTAAAAAGTAATTAAGCCAAATATAAAGCCATGCTCTAAACTATAACACTTGAAAAAAAATTGCTTTTATATAAGTGACTTGATATAGTTTTAAATTATGATATATATTAGAAAAATTAAAACTATATACATAATTGCAGTGCTTTTTCTACATACTTGAAGTTTTGGCTTATTCAAGATTGTAATGGGCTTTAATGCTTTTTTTTTTGGTCTCCTGGTATTCATCTGTTCTATATTTGGTGATTAAATTATACATACTGCTTCAGAGAGCAGGTAGGTGCCCATTTGTTCAACAATGTGTCCTTAAGAAAACCATCTTTCTAAGTCACTGTAGTTTTTACTACTTCAACATTAAAGAGTGTCAAATCATCACCCTGCTGTCCTGCTACAATACTCATGTATATTCCCTATTTACTGTTTATACATTCCCAGCTTTCTCCAATAACATCAAAAAAATGTAACTTTGTTTCAGAACTATAAGGAAATGACAGTAAATTCTTTATCATCACTGTTGAATTCATGTTAACTTGACCCTGTAAGGGATTGTAAAGCAACTTGAGTGCATTGCCAAAAATGACACAATAGGAATGCATATGGACTTTCTTTGCAAAACACGTGTGCTTTTGATTAAAGTAGGTATATACAGTATTACAGTGCTGTTGAGTACTTAATCTTGGCCAAGAGATTACCCTGCCACCCCCACCCCCAGTAATTATGACTGCAGGTTAACATTGCCATTTTGAAACTTTCCAGTTAATGGAATTTTTTTATTCCTGTGAACAAACTTGGAATTTCGGTTTCTTTGATCTGACAATCAGTAACTTTAACAAAGATCTGCATAAGTGTTTCAAGGAAAGTTTTCATATGTAAATATTGCAGTTGTACCTCACTTCAGCATCATTCCTTTGTTAATTCCATGTCAAAAAAAAGACCTCCCTACTTGCACTAACTGAAAAAAATTGCTTTCTTCTGTCCCGCCTTCACATATTCTGTGGATAAGCTGGAGATAGACTGTTATGTCATCTGTGTGTCTCTTTTGCTTTATTACTTATAATAAATAAATGACTGCTCTATTACTTGTGGTTAAGAAGCAGTTTTGTGGAACTAGCCTGGCTAGGTCTACTGCTTTTTATTGCCTTGTTTAAGTTGCCACCTCCATTCAGCTCCAAGTTAGTAAAATCAATTAATTAGAATTATGAACCAGGCCCTGTTTATAGACACTGGGGGAACAAATGTTATCCATACCCAATGGGAGAAATAAATGTGTTCCTGTATGTATTACTGAAATGTGCATTTTGGGCTTTAGTTGCAAATCCTATCTCCCCCCCAAATCTTAAAAATTAAGAAAGATGAAGAACATTTACACTTTAAGCAGAGAGAAGCCATGACAGCAAGACGGAATTGTTTTGATGAGAAGTAAAATGAGAGAATTCAAAATATCTGTTCTTAACCTGATTTTACAAAGACTTGAGCTTTTCAGAAAGAAAACTTAAATTTAACCCGATAGTTTGGACACATCAGGTGCAAGTAAACATTCTGGATCCTTGGGGCTGGGAAGCAGCCACAGGGGAGAAGTCAGCGCATAAAGGGAAGTAGAGGTGACACAGGTTCCCAGGGGCAGAGGAAGGCAGGAGAGCCCAAAAGCAGAGCAGTCAATCCCCACAATGTCTGTCTGCAGGAGCTGCAGGAAGCCTTGGAGCAAGACAACCAGGTGCCCAAGGCCAGCAGCCCATCAGCACCTCTGACCTCCCATAAGCCAGCAACCCAATCTCCCTCTCCCTGGATGACTGGAGCTGGCTTAGCTCAGGCCTGAAAGGAAGCACGCATGGCTGTGGAAAGGAAAACCTAAGTGAAAAATGAAGTGCCAACTCAAGGAACCACAAATTTCCTGTTAGAGATATTTCCTTGATACAGCCCCTTCAACAAAGAGCTGAGGGTGTAATTAGGCCTTAAAGTTCACAATATTCCTTTAGCCAATTGTAAACAAAAACAATAGCAGTGACCTGAATTTGAAGACAAACTGAGGAAACATGAGATTTCATGTTTCTGAGCAGACAAACTTTGTTCCTTGGTATTAAGAGGTATGATGGTTAATTTTATGTGTCAGTTTGACTGGGATAGAGGATACCCCAGATAGCTGGTAGAACATTATTTCTGGGTGTATTGGTGAGTTTCTCTGGGAGAGATTAGCACTAGAATCACTAAACTGAGTAAGGAAGGCGTGAGTAAAGAAGAACAAATTTCTCAGCTTGAGCAGGGATCTCCATCTTATCCTACCCTTGGACCAGAAGTACACTAGCAGTTTTCCTGGGCTCTTCATAATAAATCTCTTTCTACATATCTACATATCCTATTGTTTCTGTTTTTCTGTATTACTTAACTAATATAACAGATAATATTGGCCAGTAGTTAGTATGAATGGCCAATTCAAAACCATGATAGAGCTCGATGCTCTTGACAAGGATGTTCCATCCAGGCCAGTGACAAACCCCAGATAGATTATCTTCCCCCTTCTCACAGCAGTGTAAAGAATTGGGCTAGAACACACAGACAAATGTCCATTGAGTTTCCCAAAAGTAAAGACATATTACGAACAACTTCTCCCAGTCAAATATTTAAAGTAGTTTTAAAAAAAAGAAAAGCAGTCTCATCATTTATGCCTTTTTATAAACATAATTGAATATGTGAATGCATAGCTGAAAGCACCTAGTATTTAATATAATACTAATAAGCCATTGAAAAGGATTAGATCCTGTCATTTGTGATGTGGATAGAACTGGAGGTTAAGTGAAATAAGCCAGGCACAGAAAGACCAACAAAATATGATATGACACATATAAGGAGTCTAAAAAAATTTGATTTCATAGAAGCTGAGTAAAATAGTGGTTACCAGAGGCTGGGGAGGGTAGTGGGGAAGGGATATATAAAGGTTGATCAGTGCATATTAAATTACAGTTAACAGAAAAGAGGAGAGCTTAATCTGCCTCATGATTTCCAGGAATTCAGTCCCTGGTCTGCTAGCTCCATCCAAGGCAGACACATCATGGCAGAAATAGTAGAACAAAGGTGCTTAGTTCATTACAGGCAGGAGGCAGAGCAGGGTAACAGTGCTAGGGAGGAAAGGGGCCAGGGAGCATTCACTCCACTGTGACTCAGGTAAACATACCCAGAATTGTGCTTTACTAATCCACTGGGTAGGTCTCAAACAAGTCAAGTTAAAACAGTTAAGCCGAACCACCACATCTATTGAACAGTATTGGTTGCGGTGAAAAAAGAACCTTCCTACGTTGGTGGAAATGTACAACCATCATGGAAATTCCTCAAAGAAATAAAATTAGAAATTTCATATGACCCAGCTATCCCCCTTCTAGGTGTCCACCAAAGAGCTAAAGACGTCTTCCTATAACAAGACGTGTACCAATGTTCATAGCAGCACAATTCATAATAGCTAAATCCTGGATTCCTTTTTATTTTAAAAATACCATAATCCAATGTAGCTCTGAGTTTAACTAAATTGTTTTGTCTATCATATACATCTGTGCTACATTCCACTATATTAAACCCTCATTTACATAAATGCATGAATAAATAGTGGAAGTACATTTGATTTTTTTTGTTGTTGTAGTTTTGTCTTGTTTAGTTTGGTACCGGGGATCAAACTCAGGACCTTGCCCTTGCGAGGCAGGCGCAGTGCCACTGAGCTAAATTCCCAGTCCCTGTTTTGTTTTGTTTTGTTTTTCATTCATTAATTTTATTGGTACATTTTAGGTATACAAGATGCTGACATTCATTATTGGGAATTTGTACCTTTACATAATATAACTTGGTTCTTATTTTTTTCCCCATTTCCCTGCCCTCTCCCTATTTACAAAGACTTTGTTTCCTTTTTTCCTTTTCTCATATTCCTTTTCCTTCTTTCTTTTCTCAGACCCCTCCCACTTCCCCTTCCCCTTTAGACATTTTCTTCCTATTTCACATTACCTGTTATACATTTTAGCCCTTATTTACACTTTCAATTTCTCACAGCAGAGAAACTATTCGGTATTTACACATGTGCATTCTATTTATTTCACTTAAAAGCATGGCCTCAATGTGCATCCATTTAGCAATAAATTTCTCTAGTTTCTCATTCTTCATGGCTGAGTTGAAACAAAAACACCAAGTCTCATTAAGTCCCTTAGTTTGTCTAGTTAAGGTTCAAACTTGTAATCCTCCTGCCTCAGCTTCCCATACCTGGCTTGATAATTAGTTTTGTGAGTAAGTTTTTGTTCACACTATATGACTTTTAGAAACTAATAGATCCTAATATATAAACTGCTAATTTGATTGAAAACCAGAAGTGACATTTATTTTCGTATTAATTAGTACAAGTTTTGAGATCCAGGAACTACTGCTAACAGTGACCCAGTACTTATTTTATGTCTGGTGAATGTTACATGGTAGCTATTACACATCCTTGCCAGGTAGGCCTGTTCTTAAAATATATCTAAGGGCCAAATTGTTCAACCATTTTGTTCCAAGAGCTACTGTTTAGCAAAACATGTGGAGCTGCCAAAGAACCACAGAGATTGGACATCATTTCAGAACTGAATCCAAATCTCCCCATAAAATGAAAATAATAGAACCTTGATCCATAAAAGCTCATTATTTCTAAACACACTTCTGCCTTTTAAAGTGGGTATGAAGGGAATGTTAAATGTTGGGTGGGGAGGAGTCTGAGGTAGAACAAAGTCAGCTGTGTCCTCTAATTAGGGTTTAACTGTAGCCGCTTCTTTGGCTCCCATGCCTCTAATTATATTAGTGTCATTTTATTTCAGTAGCCTCCCTTTAGGCATCTGCAAGGACTTAAAAGGAGTCTTGGCTTTTTGCAGGAAACCTTAAATGACATTTATTCCTTCTACTATCCTTTTTGAAATCCCAACCATTGGACAAAAGCATTTTAAAAGCCCCAGATAATGCCTCCTTACGATTAATATTACCAACATTCCCTACGTTCCCACAGATCTACATTAATACAGACTTCTTATTTGAAATTAATTTTTTAAAGGCATTCTGACGATAGAATTGGAAACCAAATTTTTGGATTATCTCTTCAGGGCAGATTATCCATGTCCTTTTACAACAGCCTTTTAAAGTATGTTAGTAGGTATTATGTTCCTTAACTTTTTTTGGTGATATTCAAAGGTTGAGATTTTTACACTTTTGGTATTTTTATTTCATGTTATACTTTGAACTATAGACATCTTTCTAAAAATTTCTCTTTTCTTTTCTAACTATAGGTTACTAAAATGTATTTTAAAGATGAATCTTCAATGAGTATCTATCCAATCTTAAAACTGTCTGAAAAAGTACGAGTGTTAGTCCAATATGAGACCTACGCTAGGAAGCTGTAGTAAAAATAATTAGATTGAACAGAGTGGAATAAAGTATTCTGGTAAACTATTTCTTGAGAGCATGTCTAGGTCCTCAACTATGTATATCCCAGTTAATTTCTCCCCAAAGTGCCTACTTTCTCAGACATGTCCGCTTCTGATAGAATAGACCCATCTTTACATCACAAACAGATGATTGATCCTAAGTATTTAATAACATGTACATTTAATATGATTAGCATCTACTAAGGCAAGTACAATTATGTACACAGATTAGACTATCGAAATGTCTATGTACTTGGTAATTATTTCCTTTCAAACTTTAATACGTAAAGCACTCTCTATTAAGATACATCACAAATGGGCAAAAATACTTAGACTTCCTAATTAAAGTACCCAAGCCATCAGGGAAGCTTGATTTTAAAATGGAATATTTCTTTCCTTCCCTTGTTTCGGGCACAAATATGTGGGCCTTTCAATGCAAAACCAACTAGGTACCTAATAAAAACAAACAGACTGAAGAAAATAACATTTTCTTTGGAGGGTCTCATCTTGAATCCTTTCCTTAATGACCTAAATAGAGCCGCCCTGATGAGTGTGAAAGCCATGACTGACATCCCACACTTGTGGCCTACACAGGGCGTGAGAGTCCAAATTGACTGTGATAATAAATAAAATCTTGTCATACTATTACAGGATGTTTG